TTTATAACTAGGGGAATGAAAGAAGAAAATTAGGACAGGATTTCACGTTGAACCCATGCTTTATGATAACTGACCTGGATGAGTATACATACGGAAACGTCTGAAACTTCGAACAATACGCAAATTGAATGCAGATGGAATAAAAAATAGTAAACAATTCAGTGGCAGATGACAGGAATGGTAAAACATATACAATAAGGATATGTATTCTAGAGATATAAAACACATTGGTGGCAAAAAATAACTAAAACTAGGGCCAACTCTAGCAACAAAAATGTAATAAAATGCAACACCCTGAGTTCCACGAAGAAAACNTTTAAGGAGAAGAGGTTGAGTGCTGTGGCATGTGTCAAAGTCAATTTTACTGTCGAGTAATTCTCCGTCCCACTCGCTGGTGCTTATCTCTCAGGCGAAGACCAGTGTTTACCTCTCCCACATACACATGCACACACGCGGGCTCTCGCCAGCTGGCACGCGCACACAGACCTCACAACTCATTCCCATTTATTGACCTGTTAGTCATTGTCCTATCGTAGATTGTCACGTGACGCATGATTAATTGAATAAACCTACGTACTCTTGACTATACGTGTTCTGTGCCTTGTTCTCCGGTATAACTACGGGTAGGCTTGTTCGGACTGTAACACTAGCGACAAGAATAAACTGTTATATAAAATAACAGCTTAATTACGAAATGGATTCAAGGGTGGTTTGTGTCTGAGTTTTATCTGAAGGATTTTCATAGATTGGTAAATGCACTCACTCCTGACCCGTCTCTTTTCATGATTTTTGTTATATTCTCAAAGCTGTAAATCTATCTGAATTCGCTCCGAAAGCATTATTTTCTCAGCAAGCATCTTTTTTGTTTAGGAGGCTCTCCCGAATTTCCCGGTGAGGTTAGTACCTGAGGGTGTCCATGGGCGAATCAAATGCCAATAAAGAATCCTTTTGTTGCAGTTCTGTGCATCTTGTTGTGTGTAGTTGGTTTGTATAACTGATCTGATGTAAGAACCGACTTGAATCTCATAAAAAGTTTAGCACACTTCGACTGAACTTGCCTTATTGTCCACTGGTCGTGATTATGGCGATAGTCGTTCACCATGACCTGTTTTAAGTAAAACACATGATTACTAGCTCCCTGTTGCTTATCAAACTGCGGGATCATTACCACATTTCTGTGCTTGTCTCTTCTGGTTGTTTTCCGTGAAATTTAGTCGAAAGGCTTCGGGGTTTTTCTCAGTATCAGAGCCTTTGCCTGAGAGACACCGTTTGGACGACTCGGGTTCAGGCATGCTCGATAGCTTACCGGAAAGCCCTCCATTGTTCTCTCCCTTTCTTTACTACCCGTTCCTATGTCCGCAAATCGTTTAACTTGACTTTTCGATTATGGGTGGTATGGCAGAGTCTGTATACGTTAAATACCTCCGCGATTGCTAAACTGTGTGAAGGTGGGTGCCGTGTATTTGCCGCCATTATCCCTTTCTAGTACCTTCTGCTGAACAGGCTCCAAAGGGCATTGATTTTCACATTACGTGTCGTGTTCTCCACTTGGATCACCATTTGGTGCACGCGTCCACCACGATCAAATAGCTATAACCCTTCAACTGTCCGGCATAGTCAATGTGGATTAGCTTCCCAGGACCTTCTCGGTCTGTCTACGCACAAAGATTGTTTTTGTGCCTCTTGGACGCCGTTACGCAATTTTTGCGCACACGACACATTTCTTCAAGGTGTTTATCCATGTTGAGCCCGTAAACATTGCTGCGAGCATGTCTTCATGCG